AGTGAGGCAGAATTTTCAGATCAGCTGCTATAAAGGTAATGGAAAATTTTTCAGGCATTCCCAAAAAAATTTCCATATTCAAAGGAATTTCTTCTGTCTTGAAGTGAATGTTGTTCCAGAACATTTGCCATTTTATTACACTCTTATTCATGCTCTTCCAATCACCAGCTTTCCTAGGAAACCCATGCTTAACATCCAGGGCTAGATTTGTATACCTGTAGAAATCATGGAGACTGAACCTGTAGGAGGACACACACAGGCAAAACCTTTCTGGCCTCTTGTGTTTCAGGTGAGGTGAACTAATACAGATATTCTCATCTTTCTATGCCAATGAAAGAAAAGTTTGCCAGAAATTCACATACTTGACACAATAGTCAGAGAGAAAGAGAAGAGGAATTTCATAACTCACCCCCAATTGCAACTGGGAGCACGCAGATCCCAATTATTTCTATAGTACTGCATTGACAGTTCCACAATAGCAAACTCCAGGCCTCAGCCAGTAATGTCTGTTTAAGGGAGATAATTTTGCTATAAAATATGTTTTTAGATTTTTTTTGAGGAGGAGGAGGTTAAATGGCATGCCCAAAACCACTATTCAAATAGTGCTACACCTACTACACCTAATACACCTACTACACCTAATACACCAGCAAGATGGTATCATTTGAAAGGAGTATCTATTACTTTAAAGTCATTTGGCCTTCAGAACTAAGGCAAATTGCATTTGTTTTTCTAAAACAATTACCCTTAATAAGCCTGCAAGGAATCTATTTCTGAGAGGATCATATTTGAGTGTAGCACTATTATTCCTAAAAAATTAGTCATATTGCATCACCAACACAAAACAATGAAACTTAAAAGCCAAGGGCCATAATTTGCTCTCACACATACTGGTGTAACTCCACTGGGTCTGATTTTTGGGCACACCCGAGCTGAGCAGAGATGTCTCAGAAAAGCCAGTTATAGCCTGAAGGCTACTCTGTTCTCCCGAGGAGTGAGTGTCCCACTGGACTGGATGACAGATGGGATGGGAGGACCACAGGCTTGGCCATCTCCCTCACCACCTTTCCTCTTCTGATGAACCAAGGGGTAGGTGGCAGCTTGCTGCTGGACAAGAGCTCCCCAGAGAGAGGGCAGTCAGGTCAAAAGACTGGCTGTTTCCCACCTTCCTTTGTCCTATGGGGCTGATGCAAAGCATTCAAATATTGAATCAGAAAGACTCACTCCCCTTTCCTGGCACAGAACAATTGCAGAAGTCCATCGTTTCTTATGCCTGTTAAAAAGTAAGAAAGAAATCAGTATATTGTGGTAGAGTTTGGAGGCAGATGCCATTCTTCTCTGTTCAAATACTACAATGGTCTGTGTCCCGATTGATCTTTGCTGTTAAAATAAGGTTTAAAAATGTTAAAGTATTAACATTTTTAAAATGTATTTTTTAATTAAAATGGGCTGAAACAAATTTCCATTCTTGGTCCTGGACTGAGCAGTTTGATTCACACTGTGCTCTCAGTGAGGTTTCCACCAAAATATTTGACAAACTGTGGAGTTACTTCAGATTTGCATGCAGAGAATTAAGATCAAGATGATCTACCCTTGACGTTTGAGTCTTCCTCCAGTATAAATCAGGACTTTTGACACTAATCCATGTTTAAGACTAAAATCTCATTTTATTTTTACTATCAAAAACCTCTCTCCTGTGCTCTTTTTAGTAACTCTGCAACTTTTTGCTTGTGAATATACTGTAGAGAGAAAAAGTGAAACTAGTAACTAAAATAGCAGGAACATGATCTACTAAGCATCATCATCTGAGCGGTTCCTTCCGCTTTCCCCACATGCCAGCTTGTTCTCAAGTATTAAATCACATTGTGAAGGCTGCCTTACAAAGGAGCACCTGAGGAAAGCAGCTAGTACTCTAGGGCCACTTACATCCCTACGTGTGTACTCATAACTGTGACGGATGAGGGTGAGAAAGCTACGTGGGCAGGGAAGTAATTGGATGTAATCACAAAACAGACTTGCATAAGTGAAATGATGCATACAAGTAGTCTTTGGAGATTAAAGATATTTGGGTTGGGAGAGGAGCTTTAATTGGAACTGACCTTGTAAAACATGCTGCCTTATGTTCAGGCTTATAATCATGGGTGGGCCAGCTGATCTATTTAAAAATGCCTGGTTCACATTAACCACCCAGGTTTTAGAGAGAACTTTTACATGTTGGTGGTATCGCAAAGAACAAATTGTCACGTTTGAATACTGATCCAGCGTACTCGCAGTTAATGGAAATGAGTACAGATGTTTGGTGTAGCACCTTAAACAGCACTATCATGCAACGTTTTGACCTAAGAAAACACTTTCCTTCAGGAATATAAAACACTAATGATCCTACTGCTTCTTCTAGGACAGCAGATTTCCAGTTGCTGATCTCTAGATAGATTATTAGCTGTAACAGACAAAAGATCTAATAAGCCCAGCGATTGTCCTAGGAAGATTTAGTCAAAATTAGTTCCTTTCATTGTAACACAGATCCAACTGTAATAGGACCAACACTAACAAATGTGCCACTTTGCTTAGGAATGCCGAGCAGAATAGAAATGCTGTATTTTTGTGCACTCCGGATTGGGGCATGTGAAGGGTGAGGCTGGAAAGGGGAAAAGCAGATTTTTATGAGGCAGTCCAGGGCTGCACTTTCCAGGGTCTGGATGCAAAGAGTGTCTCTCTTTCTTTTGATCTCAGAAATAGCACACACCAATTGTCTGCGAAACAGTGCAAATTCCCACCCCTCTTTAGAAACGAAGAGTGTGAATATTGAATATTGGATATTTTGAATTGGCACAGTTTTAATTGTGCATCTCTAATGTAAACTGGCAGGTTGTTTTTTGGTTTTGTTTCTTAATTTTTTTTTAGATTTAGTTTTCCTTATTTTTCAAATACTAAGTCCCAGTAATTCACCCTTCAGGTACTGTTTCAAGATCTACTCTCTGGGCTGTTTCCTGCATCTGTTGTGCCCCTGTCACTGCCATGGAACCAAGGAAAACTGGATGTCTCACAAAGGCTTGGTACTTCCAATGGGAAATAGGGTGAGACCAAGCTCTGTTCCACAGACAGGGGAATAGGAAACATTTCCACTTGAGCTGAAATCCTGCTACAAGCAAAGGCCCTTGAGCAAGCTCCTGCCCTATGCAAGCTTCAAGCTTCAGGGTTTCTAAGTATCCACAACAAATCTGTTGCTAAATGGCATATAATTGACAACTGCATGTAAATTGTAGTACTTCTCAGGCAAGGGATTTGCAATGTAAGAATACACAAAATGCCTTAGAAATGTTTGAGAATTGATGATTGAAGCTTGTACTAATGAAAACTAAGGTTTTAGCAAAATGAAGGTTTTTCTCAGAAATAGTTTATTTCCTCTATGTTATATATAAAAGCGTATTTCCCCCTTTTCTTACCTCATTGGCCAAAATTGAGAAATTTGTTTTCTGCCAAAAAATCAAGTTTCCAGTAAGGAACTCTTTCTCGCCCCTGCAGTTTCTGACTGGCTTCATGTGCATAACCTCCTGACTAATGTTTGGGTGTAGCATCACACTTCCAGGAAACCAAACCAAATTCACATTTGACACAAATGACTCAGGAACTTAGAATAATATATTAAAGTATGCTGTCTGTGTAAGAAATGAGAATTGTTAAACCTATTTTTAAAGGAACAGTCTCTGATCTTTTTTCTTCCTGGAGCCTCAGACTTCCTTAAAATCTTTTGACATGCCTCAATTTTTTCTGCAGTCTTCTGTTGCTAACCTCTGTGCAGGCTTTCAAGTGGATGCTGTCCAGAAATCCTATTACAATAAATTTACTGTATTCAAAAAATCTGAGGAGGAAATAAGATATGGTCATATTATTAAGTCTGACTGTTCACCACTGCCAGCTTTCCATCCAGCCTTTTGTTTATTGTCATCTTATCCTGCACTTAATCTAATTTAAAGCATAGGTGCTTTAGTACAAAGACCTTCCATTTTCTTTGTTTTGAGTGCCTTCTGCATATATGATACCACATTTAAAGCAGATATTCTCTCCCTTTAAAGTGCCTTCTACATCTATAATGTAGAAATAAATTGTTACAGAAGCTTAATCAAGACTTGCAAAACCAACTAAAATGTATTTCTGTGGCTCTTATTCTCCTTTTTCATAAATAGCAAGGCCAGATTTTCTGAATTTTAGGAGAAATCAATTACCATATTTGCCTAGAAATGCTGCTTAAAGGAACGTATTAGATTCTGGCAAATCTGAATAAGAAATCAGCAGTATTCCAGAGTGCATATCCCAAAAGAAACCTTGAGGATCATTGTTTTAACTGGAATTATCTTGGGATCTCTAATACGTATTTGGAGAGCAATAATTTGGAGTCTTCCAGGTTGACAATCTGCTCAGAGGACGGCATGAGAGCAGCTCTCCCCAGGGCTGCGGTGCAGGGTCAGTGCTGACCTGGGGGAAAAGCGCTGCTGAGAAACCTCACTTTAAACCTTGGGCAAAACACAAGGTGGCACTGAATGAGCTGTGTGGCCACAGCCAAGGGGAATGGGACCACGACGGCAGCCAGCTAACCTTATTTTTATTATGTGGTCCTAGCTGTCCACATCACTGCAGCTCCAAGTGGAATCAAAAAAACAACTTGTACTTAAAATACTTTAAATGCTGCAGAAATAGAGAAAAACCCCTTACTTATTAGCAATGGGTTTTCATTTTGCTTGGGGGGAGGAGGCACCACTGAGGTTCTGTTCCAAACACATCCTCCTTCTGCCATTATTCAGAAGGCTGTTGTGCAAACCAGGATGAGGTGGGCTCTCCGGACGAGTCCCGCGCTGAAGGCTAGCGGGGCGCTGGGGCGGTGGTAGCCTTCCCACTTGCTGGATGGCCGCTGTTCCCAAGGCACGAAGTGTTCGGCATTTTTTGAGACGTTTTCCGCCGCATCAAATTCCTGCCACCTAGTGGTGACAGTCCCACCGTGCTGAGTCCCCTCGGCAGCGCAGACGGTGGTTTCCACACCCTTTCGTGAAAACAAAACAAAACAAAACATCAGAGTATGCTTTCTAAAGCACCATGTCCTACGTTATTAATCATTACACTGTGGTCAGTTTTATCTTTCATCTCCAAACCACACAGCAGCCCTTCGAAGACTGCAGAGGATACCCTTGACTTTGGTGAAAGAAAATACCAAAGGCTTGAGCTAACTAACATCTCTAAATTTGCCTGCCCACTCCAGCTGGCTCTGCCTGGGTCTTGAAGCCAGAGGCAACGCAGTAATAAAACACAACAATCGAGGAGCTCTTCAATCGGGCAATTCTCACCCACTGCCATTCCTTCGTCTGCCCAAGTCATCATACAGTTGTCAACAGTCCATGCATTGCCTAGAAGCCCTGGAAGGTGTATCCAAAAAATTAAGTGTTTCTAAGTAGCTTTATTTAACAGATCTTGTATTTCACTTTGATTTATGATTATTGTCTTAACACAGAATTGATAGATGCGACAATTAGTTGTCAGCAAACCTGCAGTAAATTTTAAATTTAAATTCTTTTCAATTAAAATTTGCCTTTGTTAAATGGCATTTTCAGCCTTGCTTAAGCAAAGTACTTTTGAAGATTGGTCATCTTTTTGGTTAGACAATTTAATTCAGGGAAATTAAAAAATACAGCATCTATCCACATTGCAGTGTTGGAGTTGTACCAGGAATGAATCTGGAGCAGCAGATTTATTGACCAAAACACAACAGAAATAATTGTTGACTTCAATCTTTCTGCACTGATTCAGCCACAGAACAGACTGCAGTGGAAATTTTCTAGTATTGTGCATTCATGTATGGTTTAATGGATTCAGGCCAATACTGAAAAGAAAGTCAGCATTCATGTCTTCAGAGAAACTCATGCCATAAAATCTGCATTTTTCCCATCCAGAGATCAAAGATTCGACCTGCCCTGGTGAGGAGGTAGGAAGAAATCTAAAACCCTGAATTGCTTTACTTCCCAGGAACATGGAAAAATGTGGCAATTCTGCCACTATTTTCTGGAATCTGATAGATTAACTTTAAAATAATAATGGAATGACCTATGAGTTCTCCTGATAAGAAGTGTTGATAAAAGCTCTTATAATATGTAACCTTTACTCTGGAACCTTGGCAGATGATCCTGCTGTCTGTGTAATGTGTGGGCCCTGGTCTTGTTTTCAGCCATGCATCCTTCTTCCAATAAGCCTTTCTGCCATTGGCATTACCCAAAGTGCCCAGGAAGAAAAAAAAACTTCTGAGCGTACCAGAAATGACAGTATGCCAATAAAGGCATGTAGGGATTTAATCGGTGCTCTTTAAATAATCCAGATCAAAACACAATGACAACTATGAGTGATGAGCCATGCATCTCAAGGAATGTAAGAAATGGAATAGAAAAGCATCATTTGTTGAAGATTAAATATTTTATAGACAGAAAAATGTGATAAATATGGCTTCTTTAGGCTTTCTTAATATGATGCTTTCAGTGTTCAGTGAGTATTGGAGGTGGAGCAAATGCAGATGTAAATTAGGAGGAAAATCACCTGTAAGAGATACTACATTAGAATTATATTTTTAAGTTGAAGTTGGGATAGATGCAGCATGTTGCATCTATGTAACGTCTTCTTTAACAGCAAATTATTTATTTGGGGAATACTATGTCTGGGAAGGAGCAGAGGGGAAAACAAATCAAACATTAAATCCCAAATAATTATTATAAGTGTAAAAAAGCAGCAACTTCACAGAGGCTGCCAGCATGACCCACACTTAAAGGAGAGACTGAAAAATGGAGAAATCCTCAAAAAAAAACCATTCTATAACCTAAGAATAATGTATCAGCTGTGATGATGCAGTCAAGCTGGAATGACTTCTTGGATCTTGTTGGTAGTGTTCAATTAACATGCCAAATGATTCTTAGACATCTTCCTGGTATTATTTTTACAAAGTTTAATTTCTGATAAGACCAGAGCAGACTAAAACTCTCCTGGTTTTCGTGGTTTTTTTGTTTGTTTTTTTTTTATTTCAACCATTGGAATATTTGTAAAATATTTGTAAAATTTGATACTTTTCAATTGGAAAATTTATATTTGCTTGTCATCAGGTGATTGCATATGGAATATTTAACATCCAGATATTTTCCACCAGAGAAAATACTCTGTGGGAAGCTAATGCCACACTGGAGGCATGCCTTAGACCATTCCAAATATAAGGTAGGATATAATTTTCTGCTTGCCTTAGTGGCCCCAGAAATTCTGCAAATGGGTGTTAATTAGTCACAAGCAGCCTGTCCTCACCATGCTGCTACACTGGACACTGTATAGTCAGAGAGATGTTTACCCATTTAAAGAAAAGTTAAAAACTAGGACCCTGGGGATATTCTGAAAATGTTAACTCTACTTTTTTGTATATACAAATCCAAACCCAGATGAAACTTGCAGCATAAGTTAGCCAAAAGAAAGAGGTCTTCCCTGCACATTTCTATTTTTTAAATGGATATTTGCAAACCTACCTACTACTAACATGGCTTTTCTCCTGCAGCTTCACATCCTGATACGGATGAAGGACTGTCTGCTGAGACAATTTCAACTTGGCTATGATAGTAGAACTGGTGGAACACCTGCCTGAAGTGACTTTTAAAAGAAATTAAGTACCATGAATTTTGGTTTTCATTCACTATGACACTGCTCTTTAGGTTAATGCTTTCACCATCTTCTGTTCAGAACAAGATAATTTTTTTCCTTCTCTTGAGGTCATCAGGAATGTTGGTCCTTACATCAACAGAACTTTCAGTATATGACAGTTATAACTTTATCTCTTCACCTGATATTGTCATTGAGGGTTATATTCTGACAGCTCATTGCAACTGATGATGATAACACCCTGCACATCTGCAGGTGGAGATTTTTATCACAAAACCTTTTGCTGTCATTTCAGATTAAAAAGCAACAAAGTTTATTCAGATTTTGCCAGAACTGACAACTGATGGTTCTCACGAATGACATCAAACCACCACTCACATGGGCAGGCTCAAGCCACTGACTAGAAAACAAAAGATTATAAGACATACTCCTTTTTAGAACTCTTAGCAGAGATGATCAGCCAATGGCCCTGTATTTAGATTTGGTCTGTGGAAAGAAAAGGGATGCCTTCAGCAGACTGTACCTCTGTTTGCTCCATTGATTTCAGTGGGAGCCACTTCGGAGAAGAAAGTTTCAGCATTTTCTTCCCAGGTACTGTCACAGAAAGAAAAACCCTAATTAAATTATCTTTGGAACTGTGCCATACCAAGTCAGGTATTTTGAAACAAATTCAAAGTATCATATTTAATTGCAGATATTTTCTGAAAGCTGTTAAGTACACAAAGCTCTGATTTATCCGAAGTTGGAAAGGCATCCAAGACTAAATTGATTGAAACTTAAATTTTGGGTGCAGAGACCGAGCAGCTGAGATAAGGACCAGATTGCTGGTCAAGCGGCATTTCCTTTTCAAGTGGTATTGGAAACTTTAGATGACACAGATTGAAAGAAAATACTAGAATTCATCTTATTTGTGCAGACCAGCTGTAAAAACAATGCCCATTTTATAAAGGTCCTGAGAAGACCCCACCACCAGGAGGTCTGGCTGTCGGGGTTAGGGAATGATGTGGAGTCAGTGCAGCCAAGGCAGAGGTCTCCAAGCAGTGCCATGGGGAGGGAGGCTGAAGCTGGGACCCAGCCCTGTCCTGGGGGAGCTGCTGCCAGACGAGTCTTTACCTGAGAGACAGCGCTGCTGCCTGGCCTCAGCCCATCCCCACGTGGTGCTTCTCCTTTAGCTGGGAATGTGAGCAATAAGGAACAACTGCACAGGTCTTGCATCCGGAAAATCTCATTAACAAGTCCCCAGAGAGCAAAAGGACCACTGGGCCTCCCCTGGGGATCACCAGGGGTAGGGGCAGGCTCAGCCTGTAACTACTCACCTTCATCCCCTGCAGCCAACACAAAGACTGAGGCTGTCTTCAGCCAGAGATGAGTAAGGCCCTCCAGGAACACCCTCATCTCGCTCAGTTTCCTTGGCGAACATTACCTGGAGGAAATAATTTTTTGAAGAAACTCAAGATATGTGTGTCACAGTGATGTCATAGCTGCTGTAGAGGGGATTTCAGGATTTTTTGCCAATAATTTTTTGAAGAAATTCAAGATATGTGTGTCACAGTGATGTCATATCTCCTGTAGAAGGGACTTCAGGATTTTTGCCAACTGCTGTTTACACAAGAGATATTTGAATGGTGTCCCTGGGGGGCTGCAGATGGGGAAGGAGGTAGAAAACAGCTGTGGTGGTAAATATTAGATTTCTTTGTGCTCATATGTACGTCAGACAGAAGTGAAACTCAGACAATTAAGAAATTTCAGCTTTAATAAGGACACACTGACAAGATTATTACCATTTGATTTGTGTGGCACTGGATCATCTACCAGGCAGGAGCACATGATGGCACTTCTGGTGAATTATCCAGAGTACAGAGTTATTTATACTGGCTTTACATTGTCTGGGGGGGACTGGTGTGGATAGAATACACTCAAAACCAATAAAAACTGGAATACTTTTTAAGCACATTCAAATCACATGCCTGCAGCACTTTGCACCATAAGGGTGCGTTTTGATGCAGTATTCAGTGCCCTAAAATATTCTTGTGCATTGCCTAACACAAGTCCAACTTTAAGGCTGATCTGCAGCAACTAAAGGTTCATACAGAATGTTCAGAAGCTGTTGTCCTTGTGAGCAGCCACAACCATGTGTCACAACCAGGTACACAGTCAGATGTCTTGCAACACCTAAATACAGGTAAGAAATGTGTACACCAGCTGATGTGTGTCTGCCTAGGGCAGACAAAGGCCAGGAGAACAAGATTGTCATTCTGTCCTACAGGGCTGTTGAAACAAACTTCTGTCTGCATCCTGAAGGATGCTGCCAAGAGCAGCGGGGAAGAGGGATAGCTGCTCACATCCTGATTCCAAAACATAAAGAACAATCTCCTTTGGACAGTGTGGATAATTTGCACTCCCTTAATGAGTCTTCCCTTCTAAATGGCTATGAGTCAGCATCATGAAAGTGTGATTTCTTACTGATGTATGCATATAGCACCAATTGTGCTATAAAAGATTATTATTACAAATGATTGCAGAGCAAAGTAAGAAATGAAAAACACCAAAGATTTCACTTAAGGTTCAGGATGTCTCTTACCAAAGGTTTTCTTAATACAACACAGGGAATTCTGTCTGTCTAACAGATGGTCCTCTACACTGACTATTAGTTTCTTTGCCTTTGCTTTGGAAATTGAGCTGCATTACCTTACCAACCCAGCTGAGCCTGCCCATGGTACTGTACTTGAGGCCCATCTCATGCTTCCATTGTTACAGTGCAGTTACCAGTGCAGCAGATCATCCCAGGATAATACTCACACATCCTGTCTACAGGAGTTACTCCCTGAGGGCCTGTCAGAACAGATTATTTATGCCAGCATTGCACAATTTTGCTACTGCAGTGCAAAAATTTTATGCACCTTTAAAAACAGACAGGAGATTATTTTTACAGTATGAACAGTCATGTTGACTGGTAATGACTGAGTGCATAGAGCTGCACAAATATCACAAAGCAATGCCCTGTACTTCCTACAGAAACAGAGATCACTGTTGTTTATACCTACAAAGTGGGTGCAAGCTCCTTTGCTGAAGGATGAGCAGCTGCAGCCTCTCTATGCTCTTCAGGCAAACATTAGATCAAAATGATACGTGCTTTCCTATTTTCTTTCTTCTACTAATGCAAAAAATGAAGTTGGCCATGGTTGCCATTGCATCATCTACACACGAGATACACTGTTCTGCTTCTGAACTGGAATTCTACATTTTTTAAAAACTACCTTGTGCTTTTATTAAAAATAAACACCAACCCTCATGATTAGCAGATATCAAACCATGGTTAAAAATCTCATTATTCTCACTTTAAAGAGGGAGGAATAAAGGGCTAAGGATGCTGATTTCTAAAATGGTCTGATCTAAGACATTTTAGATCCAAGATCACCCTGGGTTGCCATGGAGGTTGTCAGCCCTTGGTTATGAAAGGCCCTGCTATATGTCTGGCCCTGGGGGTTAAGGATGAAGTTCTCAAAGGCAGCCATCACTTTTAATAGTGTTTTGCCCTAAGAGCATACAATGCACAAATAAATAGATGATAGGTTGAGAGTTGGATCTGTCTATCCATATTTCACTTTCATGACCCCTTTTACAGCTATAATGAAGAACAATATAAGCTTTTTTGCTGTTCAGAATGAAATTGTACCAGAGAGACAGTCTACTTTAAGATGATAAAAGTAAATGCTTTTGCCAAGCTCAGGGACATGAAGCCAGGATATCTTCAAATCCAGGCCCCTGTAAGCAACAAAACACAGCCCTTTAACGTCTGCTGGGTCAGCTCTGTCACTTGAAAAAGGGATTGAAATGAGTTCTAAGATGAAAGTAGTTTTAACACTGAAGTTTCTAAATGGGTTTTAAAATACGCTGGGACAAGTTTGCACAAGAAACATTTGCTCTTAAGAGTAAAACCACGGGACCTGAGCCAGGCCAGCTGTGCTACCACTCCGCCTTTACTCCTGTAGCAGTGAGTGCCAGAAGCTACAGACTCTGGAAGTAGAAAACACATTTCATTGCTCTTGTTTTATTCCCTTTAGGCTGACACATAGAATGAAGTTGTCAGGCTTCACAGCAAGCTGTGTCTAGCCTTCTTTGGCTGCAGGGAGGGCTGCTGATACATCATGCTCTGAGATTAGGCAAGAGACACACACCAGTGCTAAAACAAAAGGAAGAGACTTCAGGTTACCTGCTCCCTTATGGAAGGTTGCCTGCGGTATCTGAGATTACAAGCAGCAAGAGAAACAGGTCATGGGAAGGTCCCTATTTAGTTAGATGCAATAATTAGCTGTTCACAGGCTGAAGTGAAAGTTAAAGTTGCTCAAGTCTTGAAGTCAAGACTCAAGAGTATGGGTGTCAAGAGATAGAAAACGCCAAAGATTAGGTCTGAACGTATAGCAAAATGTAGTGAAGCTGATGGGAAAACAAATGTGCATCACAAATTAATAATTTGAAATTATACACATTTTAAAAAATCAAAATATTTTTTGTACATGGTTTACCATAAGAAACTACATCTTTTGATTAATTTGAAGAACAAAACCAAGATAATTTAAATGTGGAGTAAGAATTAGCAAGGCAAATTAAAATACTTACATTTCCTCTATGGAAAATAAAGAAGGAAGATGGTCAACCTCTCTAGTGTTGCAGAAATATGAAGTGACTTAACTCAAAACTACTTAGATGTGTAATGTAGCACAAGCTTTAAATGCTTATTTCTTTAAACAATAGGATCCAATAAATTCTACTGACCAGTTACCAAAGGATACACTTACATCAGTCCCTGCAAGTTTATGTTCCAGAAAACTGGAAACAATCCTTTCCTACTTTTCTAGACGCTGAGTTTGTGAATGCAGTGCAACTTTTTCTACACACAGACCCATATTTTCATTATTCATTTATTTATTCAACTCTCATGTGAAAATACTGTTACTAGCCTAAGCATCTTAGCATTCTTACATCATATTGCCTTGAATATCTGTATGTTCAGTAATCTGTACACAATGAACCTGAAGTGGCTGGCATACATCAGTAGTGGTTAAAAACATGAGATAAAGACACTAGTAGCTCAATGGTCGACATATTTATTAAAGTGCTTCCCCCATATAAACTGTTCCTATCTCATAGCTATAAGGAGAAGATCTAAAATGAATCAATCAGTGTATAAAGAGGAATGTGAATTCCATTTTTCAGGATAATTTTTTTGTGTTTTATCTTAAAAAAGTAAAAAGAGACATGAAGAAATACAAAAGATCTGCATATCAGGATGGTGTGGTATCCTACTATGTTTCGGCACTAAAGAATCAAATCCATCTCCCAATTCAGACAGCCTCAAACCATCTATAAAAGCATTGTTGTAGTTTGGTAATTGAAAAACACGCAAAAAAACATATGGAAGTTATGTTTGGCCTAGTTTCCATATATGTCAAAGATGAAAGATTCCTGGCAAACCTGTAATATGTATTTTTAACATGGTGTTTTTGCCAGCTGGCTTTTCACATTCTGTAGCAAGTTTGCACACTACTTTAGAAAATCTACTGAACTACACCTAAATGAAAATTACAAAATAAATCACTGTAATAACAAACCAAACAACTTTATATGGTGGACCTAGCAGTTTCAAGTGTAATCGGCAAGTAAATCATACCAAAATTGTTGTCTTGATCTTGAAATTCATGAGTAAAGATGTGCAAATCTTGAAAACACTATCAATTCAGCACCTTTCTTCTGCTCCCCTGCTGCTGTTCACAGGGCAGAAGAACATTTTACTTTGCTCGCAAGCTTTTCATTACAGATCACTGCTCTCCCGCGCGTCGACAGTAACAAATTGTTGCTCACCAGTTATAGAGCGTCCCAGCGGACCAAAACTCTGCGGAGTGGGTCTGGCACTGGCCCTGCCCCCGTGCTGGCAGGGCGTTTTGCAGAGGCAGGGGCACAAAGCGCTGCTGGAGCAGCTGTCCCCAGCACCGGCGCGGAGACAGCGGACGCGGGGCGGGTCGGCAGCCACGGGCAACAGGGAGCGCAAACAGATCGCCCGGGCCCTTCTAGGGCCGTACGTCCATCTCTGCACTTTTATTTTTTGCCACCCTCTCCGTTCTTTTTGAGGCGATACAGTCAAAACCAGTCAGGATGGAGATTAGCAGGGAGAAGGCAGTCAGAAAAGCGGCGCCCGAGGGAAGATGCGAACAAGACGGTGGATTAGCATCTCCTGACCGGGTGGCTATGTCGGGTGAGGCGGCGAAGGCAGACCGACGCCATCGCAGGGGCTCCAGAAGGGTAAGAAACTTGGTTTTTTCCTTTCTCGAAACGTTATTTTTGTAGCAACATAAAGCTGCATGCGCGGACGCGTGATTTTTTTTGTAACCAGGCGCCCGAGATCCCCCGGGCATTGCCATTAACACCGGGTGCCTCCGCGTTGTGATTCCCCAGACACACAGCGCCGGGGCTCAGCACGGTTACCGGGGCTCAGCACGGTTACCGGGGCTCCGTCTTTACCGCGGACAGCACGGCCGCAGCCGCCCGCGGCGGGCCCCGCCGGAGCAGCGCCCGCCGCGGCGCGGCCCCGGGGCTCTCCCCGCCCGCCCGGGCGCCGCGCAGGCGCCCCGCCGGCCGAGCGAGGCGGAGCGGGCCGGGCCGGGCCGGGCCGGGCCGGGCCGGGCCGGGCCGGGCTGGCGGCGGGGCCGGGCCGGCTGTGCGGTGGCCGGGGCTCCGCCATGCCCGTGCGGTTCAGGGTGAGCCGAACGGGAGCGGGGCCCGGCGGGCCGGGCACGGCCCCGGGCGTGGGGGGCGGCGGGAGCGGGGCTGCGGCCGGTGCTGGGTACGGGGAGGGAAGGCCCCGGCGCTGCGGCGCCGGCCCGTAAAGACAGGAGGGGTTCTGCCGTTCTGTCGGGTGACAGCGGGTCCCGGCTGTGCTTGTTCTTGAAACCATTCACTTGGAGACATAAGATACATGTTTTGGTTTTTTAAAATTTAACGTTATTTTTTGGTGCATGAAATGCTTCCACGTTTTCTCAGCATTACTTTCTGTGCTCGGACGGGGGTGGGTTTGGAAGATGCCGAGCAACCTGTCAGCTTAGCTCGTCGCGCAGCAGCGTGTCGGTGATTTTCCTCCCTTCGGAGACCTGTTACCGGCCGGAGCAGCGACGCAGGATGTGCACCGCTGGCCTGACAGACTCCTCTCTGTTTGCTGTAGGGACTGAGTGAATACAAGAGAAACTTCAAATGGAGAAGCCCAGAGTTTCGTAGCCCATCCCAACAGCAGAAATCCTTGTGGGCAGGACTTCGGTCGGATCAGTTTGGTAAGTGCCCCTGGAAACTGTGCTCTTGGTTGCAGCCAAGGCCTGGAAAGCTTTGCTGTGATGAGTGCATGGCCACAGTGAACTGCTGGTGTTTATAGTTTGTGCACTTTGTAATTAAATTAAAACCACAGTCTTGGTCGTCATTTAGATGTATTATGTTTTGGAACTCCATATTCTTTATGGCTACTGAAACTTTATTTTCAATTATAAAAAGTAGTTTCTGACATGCAGCATAAAATAAGACCCAAACATGAAATGCAGGTGCATTGTTAACCCATGTAGGTGTGTCGAGGGTGGGATTGGTTTATCTGTGATGTATGGAAATAGTAAATAAAATTCCATTTTTAAGAGGAGACTAACTTGGAGCAAAATTTGATAAAGTGAAATTGTTATGATCCTAATATGTAGTTAGGAGCTAACCGAAAGAGAAGGTCAGGCATTACAGTGAAAACCTTGTGATACTGTAGTGTAGGATTTAAGGATGTAGACATTATAATGATAGGCAAATATGGGAATAGAAAGCAGGAGGAAAGGGAAATAGCAGTTGGCTTGAGAGGCCTGTAGGGAGCTGAGGGAGAGGGATAAGCTGAGAGTCATGACAACTGCAGTGCTCTGAAAAATAGTAAAAAATAGTAATTATTGCAATGGCAGAAGGCAGAGTAAAAAAAAAAAATAAATTGGTGCAGTTCACTGCAACTGCAGTCTGTGTAATTGGAGTACAATGCATTTATTCCTACAATAATAAGTGTTCCAAATTATGGCCTTGTAATTAAGAACTGACTACTGACAATAGGGTTAACCATATTCTTTTCACTGGCTGTGTTAGTTTTCCTGTTGTTCAGCTCCCAGAATCAATTTGCACAGGATTGTCCTGTGGACATTTTTGCTTTATAGGGTTTAATCCAATGTGGTTCTGGAGCACCATGTTCCTGTCTGTTTAGTGGAAAGGAAGGTCATTTGCAGATAGGAAAAGGCACAGAATTTCACAGCCTTGCCTGTAATTCATAGTCTGTCACTGCTCCAAGCTTTCTAGTAATAGGTTGTGTGATAAATATTCAGTTTATTGTTGTCATAGAGTGATATTATGTCTTAAATGAATGTTTCTGTTAAATCTAGTACGGCTTTTTCTCAGGAATTGTGAGAGAGCCAAAATTCATTTCCAAGAGAAGAGTACCTTACCATAATCCACAGATTTCGAAGTCCCTGGAATGGACAGGGGATTGTGATTTGAGTGACCCGCTGGAAACTGAACCTGCAGAGTTGCACACGGACCATGACAATGATAATGGGAATCAGGAAAAACTTGAAACACCAGAAGGATCCAGACTCCCCCCAAAAGTTCAGTCACATGTGGTAGATTCTGGTGGTGAAATAGCTCTTGCCCTTGCAGAGAACATGCAGAAATCACCCTCAGAAGCTCCACCAAATCAAACCGAAGCATTTTCATCTCCAAAAAAGGAATCAGAAAAAATGGGTAATGGGGTAAGGGAATAGTTTTTATTTTTAATTGACCAGTCTAAAAATTACTAACTGTAATTTCATATCCATGCTCAGACTCTCTTGTCAAACTGCTTCTCTCTTTCTTTGGTTTTGTATTTTGATACTCTTGTAGCTTCTTTGTTGGGAGAATAGTAGTTTCTTAATTCAATAGAATTTGCTCTTCATTTGCATCTTTGGAGTGTGTCATCACTGCTGATTTCAATTAAACAAGGATTTAGCCAATAATATATAGATTTTTGGGGTAGTTGACTATAATGAGAAAATGCACTTTGCAGTCATTTTTTTCTTGAAACCAAATACCAAACTGTTGTTTTGAAAGTGTGTATTGAAAGATGTTTAAGTTGCAAAATATGCAGGAAAGGGAACAAACATTGTAATTTTTTCTTTTCTTTTTTTCATGATCAGTTTCACAGAGCACTTCAGAGGAAAGCAGATGTAAATATCCCCAGAAACTCTGAATATCAAAGCCAATTTGTCTGGAAGAGTCCTCATGAAAAGTCACCAATACTTGCAGCTGAACAGGTAACATTATAGAATCCAAAAGGCAAATGAATACTTTCTGTTATGTATCAGCAAAGTTTTCCTTTCAAAAAGATTTCCTTTTTTTCCTCTTTTGGGGGAGGATTGACGAACTTTAATGTTGTTATATTTTTTTTCTCTCTCACTATACAAAAGTATAACATAATTGGATTTGTTTCCATGTGATTCTTTATTGTGGTCAGGCCTAAGTATTTGTTCTCCTTAGGCCTTATATTTTGCTCTTTCTGACAGGGTCCTGTTCTTCTGTTTGCATTAATTTATCTGTGTTGCCCCAGTTTCTTCTTCTCAGTCTCCAGCTGTGTGCACATACACTTCTAAGCCCTGAAGTGTGTCTCTCTAGTGTTTTATTTCTTTCATGAGAACAGCTTATATTTAAAAGTGGAGTTTTCTGATTTTAAGATACTCTTGTGACATTTTAATGCTTCTCATGAGCTTTTGGGCTTTGTAGAGTTGAGAATGCTGCTTTTTCTCGTGAGACCACAGAGAGTAACTGGGTGTGAGACTGCTTTGTGTTTTCAATTAAGTGTTACTGGGATCACAACTTAGGAGACTCAGTCTTTTGGTCATTTTACAGTGTAAAGCAGGCACTTCTGCATTTGTCTACTCTTTCTTCAGGAACATCTTTCAGAGGCAATAAATGTTGTTAACTAAGATAATCACTATCCTGCCTTTTTCTGGTAGAGTACCAAGCAGGTGGATTTACTGCAGGATATGTTTCCCAGCAGCCCCTTATCCAATGAAAACTCACTGAAATACATAATACAGAAAAGCCATAGGACCTTTTGAGAAAAAGGCAGTTTCCAGAAAGTCACCTTATGGAAAAAATCAAAGAGAATTCCATTTGATTCTGTGTACAATCAGTTTGATAATTTCATTATTAATGCTTGTGAGCGTTGTGCTTTTTTCAGAAGAAAGACTTTTTTTCATAGCTTACTCAGAAGAAGAAGAAGAAGAAGCAGTGAGAAAAAGTCTGTGGGCATTATGCGTCTATGGATAAGCAGAACCTAGGGAAAATGATAAAAAAAATGATAATGATAAAAATTATACATATTACCAAGTCATTATTGTTCACTGTTGATATGGCTGAGAATATACCTCAATACTGACAATCCCTTTCCCTTGAAGAGATTCTGTGAGAATATTGAAGTTATCCAAGTTAGGTTATAATTCAGACCGAAATTCTCATGGCAAATCTATGTAAAATGTATGCTTCTCATATATGGCATGGTCTTGAAATTTGGAGCCCTATGACCACATATTAGACAAATTCTCTACCTTGTTGAATATGAATGGATTTTAATTTGCCCAAGCTCTAAGCATCTAGCTCTAAAACTCAGAGCAGTTTTCTGTTACTTATGAGCAGGACATGTACTAAGGACTCACATAGAAGTTTTATGGCCTTTAAAAAAACATGATCCTACATAGAACTCTGAAGGTGAACAAAAAATAAAATAAAGAAATAAAACCTCTGGTAGAGAACTTTATTAAGAACAGTGTTTCATCACAGGTTTAACTGTGTCTGACTTGGTCACTTTAAAATATATTTAAGTTTCTCTTTAATTTCTTCTAGAAGTTCATTAGTCTACACATGCTGTATTTGTAGTGATGACTCTCTCTGCTCATATGTGAGTGTATTTGTGTGAATAAGTCAACAGATTTTGAAAATTTAGCCTTAAGGTAAACAAATCACACTTTTTTCCTTTGTTTTGTTTTCTTCCTCCCATGTAGCTAATTTGCAACACAAAGAAATCCATACCTCCGGTTAAACCGCCTGCCATTACTTCTGAAACTACATATGAGAGAAATTCCAAGGGGTCTCCTCCTGTTAAGAGTCCACAAGAGAGAGGTGTTAATGAAGAGAAAGAAATTCTGGTGTGTTAACAAGTAAATACTTCCTAGAAAGAAAAGCTTTAGTAGTAGTTCTTCAGTTTTGATCTGTTCTGTATGGGGGTGGGTTTAGGTTGAAATTATTTAGTGTTGAAAGTGACACTGGATTCAGTAGTGGTTTTGCTGTAAAAGACAGAAAATAATTCTCTACAGCTCTGCTCTTTTAGGGGCTCTGTAGAGCATTTTGTTCAGTTTAAAATTTTAAGTTTCTGAGTTTTGAAGGTTTTTTTTTGGTTGTTTGTTTTTTTCTTGCTCCCAATTGGTTATTTTTAGTAATTAGGATAGTTTCTGTAATCTAAATCTCTGATTTATACTCTGATACCAGTGTTGTGTCTTGGTGTGCAGTAGAACTCTACCTCAGATGGGAGGTCTGGAACTTTTTGAATGTCATAAATCAGAGATAGTGAATTTTCTCCCCACAGTGGCAAACAGTATCTCTGTATTCTTTCCATGTCACCTGACTTTGCTTCCACTGGGCATAGATCTTCCTTTTTTTGACTTTCTGAGTCAGCTCCCTTATGACCTGTTCCAAAAAGATGTCATTCTGGTTTTTTAGGAATCTTCTGGCCTGGGTTGTACCAACTGTGTGGTGCCCCCAGTTAATCTGAGTCTCCTCACCACCCATCTCTGTTGCTGATGGAACAGAAGGAGCTATTGTGAGACAAGGTGCTCATTAGAATCACTGTTGAGCTAAAGGTGTATTTAACATGCAGTGCCTTGGCTTAAACTAAGCCATTGGTACTTCTGAGGGGATTGTTGGCTTGGAGGTTTTATAATTTAAAATTCAGATCTGCCCAGTTCTTTAAATCCCATCTGAGGATGAGAAATTTTATGTCCCCTTTTGCCCCTTAGTAGATATGAAAAAAGCTTGAAAAGCCTGAGGCTTTCAGGAAGTATTTATCTGGTTTTAATACTGGAATTTCAGGTCATTTTCTAGAACAGGTAAGAAGTTAAGTAAGAGGAGTCATGAGAAGGGAATTTTTGTGAAAATGCCTAAAAAACTTGTTTATACCAATACCTCATCTCTGATGAGTATCTTGGAAAGGTTTTGGGGGATTTTGGTGGGCTTTTTTATTTTTTTAAATTGAATTTTAGCAATATCTTTGAAGATCTCTAGCACAATCAGAAGTCATGCATTGCATTTCTGAAAAAATGAAATAATCAGGAAAAAAAACTTAGGTGCAAAACCCGAACAAATCAATCTAAACATTTATAAAACAAAATAAATATTTTAAAATTTACCTTTTGGATGCAGGTGAGAATGTGTAGATATCATATTTTATTTCTGTGTTTCATGTAGAATTAGTTCTGTAAAGTGGTCACAATAGATCATCTAGCTAGCAGAATGTTGCACTCAATCTTAACTTTG